AGAGCCCTAAAGTAGTACTGGTATTCTTTAGCCCCCTCCGGCCGGCCGGCAGGCGCTTGGAGTCCAGATCTAAGTGGGAGTTTCCGAAAATGGGGGTACCCTATTTTGGGGGTCCTTATAATAAGGATCCTCTTATTTAGGGTACTATATTTGGGTCCCCTATTTTCGGAAACAGATCTAAGTGGGTTTTTTTGGGTCCCTGAGGGGCTTTAAGGCTTGGGTACCCCTTTATGGCTGATTCAAAGATCCATGCATGTTGAGGTGAGGGTCGTTTCAGAAGAAGGATATTGAAGCGGCTGGGCGATGTTTGGAGCGTTTAGCTTTTGATGTTGAGAGGGTTCTCGGAAAGTAGATCCCCTTGAATTGAAGACTGTGGCACACCTCTCTTGCAGGCTAAATCGTCTAAATTGCTTAACGACAGTTGAACTAGTCAAATGGCCGGAATGCCAGGAATTACAAGGACAAACTTCTTTGTCCCAGCCTTGCTCAGCACGACCCGTCTCTAACCGAATGCATTACGTAGGAACGGTGCAGCGGATGTTGACAAACACCAGTATTTGCTACTGCTCCGCCGGAGCCCGGAAGCCAGTGGCCATTTCCCTCACCACCCAAACTAAAGCTCGCTGAAAAACAAATAAGCCGGGCAAGTCTCCAAAACCTGCGAAGCTAAGACCCAAACAACCCTCAGCTTTATCTTCGGTATGTACATATACACGACGATATGCGCGTGCCTACATGTACACACACACAATCATGCACGCCCCAAAAGTGCCTAGTCCTGGCATCTCAAGCTCTTTAGCTAAATCTTGAGTCCTTGGAGCCTAAAAGTCCGAGCGGCCAGGCCCGGAGGCGGGCGTGGTGCAGGGACTTCCATGGCATACGGGGAGCTGGGAACCCCGTTCCCCAAGGGTCCGAAATGCATATAAATCTTTCGAAACTTTTGGAGACTGAAACTTGGTTTAGGGGCTTATTTCGGCTCTAAGGGTTTACGGCTTCGGGTTTAGGATGACGTAGGCGTGATTTGTATACTTGGAGTCTTGAGGACATCTGGGGCTCAGGCTTTGGCTTGAAAGGTTTGTGGGGATCAAGCTTTATGCGTGCAGGTTCGAGCTTGAGGGTTTACGGAAAGTCGAGGATTTTCCACCACACCGAAACTGGCATCTTACATTGGGATGTTGGGCGTGTAATACTTTAAGTTACTTAGATATTCGCATAACTGACGATAAAGGCTAAATCTTGAATTGAAGTTTAAACGCATGGGATTCTTCTGCCGCTGAGGCTTAACGACCCTGGCCCGGTGCAGACAGACATAAACATAGGGGGGGTGATTTGGGGATCCGCTTCGACTGTGCATCAGTGATTGAGCAACGTCAGGCGACTCTTCTGGAATGCTCCTGTCTGCAGCACAACCCTCCACCATGCATATCGAAGCAGCATGACTGCGCAGCTGAAACCCGAACCCATGCAAAAGGCTCCTGCTGCAGCCGGCTAATACCTCTACCAACGGTTTACGGACGGGCTGGGCTTTAGGTCTCTTGAGCTTCTCGTGAAGCCATGCCTTTCCGAGAAATGAGGTAGGTTCGAATATGGTGTTGGTATATATTGCGTACCGCATAGATACCGCGGTTATCTTGACATGAAGTTTGGGAATCCGATTGCTAGAGTGTCAGGGCTAATGCGCTGGGTTCGCCTGACGGTGTTGGTTCTAGACAGTGGGACCAACTATATACGTCCTGCTGCCCCCTGCCGTAGCACTCGAAACCTCAACCCGCTGTGCCATATCACGTTGTAGACCGCCCGCATCAATCGAGCTACCAGGTGAGACATGCCGGAAGCACGAGGGGCCGTACCGTTTTAGTAGGCGGCACGTCTTCCGGCAAGAAAAACACATCCGCTCCCCAGCTTGGCACTAGAGTCAGTGGCAGTTCCTATCCGAATCCGGTGAGCAGAAGGCACTTCGATCAGAGCCAATGCATCGCCGCCTACCACGGCAGATTCCACCTTAAGTAACTGAGGCACTGAAAAGACTTCGAGTCGCAACTGATTGGAATGCTCTCTGACTGAAACTGCTCTTCTGTGCTAGCGACTTGCATGGCGTCCCTGGCGGGGACATCGAAATAATTGCAATGGATGTCTGCTTTGCAGATGCTTGCCAGACAACCTCCGGAAGTTTTCTCACCCGTACAGCCCCGAACAACTCGACAGCATAGGCCCAAAGCCCTGTTGGATATCCTGGACCCCTCAGTCATCATCATCTTGCGCCAAGCGAAGTGCTTCTTCTGCCAACTTCTGCTTCCGCTCCTGCTCCAAAAGGTAGTTGTCCCTGTTTCCGTTCCGATTCCCGGCGGCATGGTCTCGGCTCTTCTTGTTGCCGCTGCTAATTGAAGAACTAGTTTGCCATTCTGGGCTTGAGGCCGGTGGCGGGCAATGCAGGTCCAAGGCAAACAAGGCAGCATGATTTGACTCTAGGTTTGGAGGGTTTACGGCTTACGGTTTGTTGTTGGGGTTTAGGGTTTCGGCTTCGAGGTGGCAGAGGACGGTGGCCTGTGGCCTGGCAGGGATGATGTCCCTAAACCCCGAACCTTAAACCTCCACTGCAAACCCTATAAGCCCCACATAGCCCTGTAAACCCTCAGCCTTGAAAACCCTAAACCCGAAGACCTGGACTTAAGGCCCCCAAGGAATCATAACCCTGGAGAACCAAATGTCCCCACAAGCACTGCAAAGCCCGGCACCCTTCAACCGTTGGGCCCCCCAAGCAAAGGCTCTAGATCCCAAGTCCCAAATTGATGCTCCCCTGTGCCACCAAGCCTGAACTCTCATAGCCCTGTGATGTCGGGCTTCAAGTACGCACCCTAATACGATCCAGATTAAGAGACCGAAAGTGGGCCGCAGCATGATGCTGGCCCGAAAAAACACGCCAAACACGCAGTAAACAAAAGACACACAGCAGCCCTAAGAGCTCTGCCAAATCGACAACTCGCAAAAAACAGCCGTCGGCCCTGAGCCGACCGTAAAACTAAACCCGCACGGCCGCCAGCTCCAGGTCTCAATTAAAGCCGTGAAACCCTAAAGCCTAAAAAACCCTACACCCTACAGCCCCAAAATCCTGAAATCTGAAGCCTGAAGTATCCCTCCCCCCCACCGCCTTTTCCAGCTTCCGGCGGGCCTCTGCTTCCCTCTCCTTCTGCTTCCTCTGCTCCTGACCAAGTGCACCTTCCCCAATCCCTTAATTTGGGAAAAGGCTTGAGATTAGGTTGTGGTTGTAGTTCCCAAATCCGCAAATTTAGGAATAGACTTTAGATGAGATTGTAGTTCCCACATCCCCTAATTTAGGAATAGGCTTTAGATGAGATCTTAGTTCCCAAATCCCCCAATTTAGGAATAGACTTTAGATTGCAGTGGGATCCTTACAAGGACTTAAGTACTTCAAGGGACATAAGGGAGTTTGGCGGGTCTGATGGCCTGTGCGAAGTCCACCTTTCGGCTGTTGCTTTGTCGGAAGGGCAAGGGTTAGGGTTGGGGTTTCTACGGTTTTGGATTTATAGGGTTTAGGGTTTATAACAAACTTACCCTAAACCCGATACACTTTATTAGAGTTTATAAGGTTTAAGTTTTAAGGCGCTTCTTTGAAGGGGGGGACGGGGGGTTAAAGCCGTCTGAGTTGTGATTTTTCTAGCTTGATTTCGACTTGGACGACGTTTCGACTTTGCTGTGGCTGCACTTAGCCGAAGATGTCCACTGATGTCCGAATTTCGAGGCTTCTTTGAACTTCGGCTTTGGGATATTGTAGCCTTCGACCCAGTCACAGCCCACATGCAAAGCCATGTGAAAGGTGCAGTGTCCCGAAGTGGTTCAAGCAAATTGTATGCTCCTCCCACGTACAGCCCCAATAGCGTGGTGAAGCTCTCCAACATCCAATGCTTGCTCATGATCAACTGTACCACCAGAATCAGCGAAACAAGCGAAAACACAAGCTGATTTAGGGCTGCGGCCCTGTGAGCAGCTCCCAATGACACCAAGTACGTACGATGCTCAAACTGTGCTCCCAAGCCCCCACCGCAACACACCCACCCAAAAGCCACGTTGGCAAAAGAGCAGCCACCTACCCCAAGCAAGCTGCTTCGAAACACCTCGCGAGCTGCCCCAAACCAACGCATTCAACAAACACCAAACCCTGCAGACATCTGAGAAGCGATATGCAACTCTTAGATCCCCTGTTACAGGCCTTAACCTCTGCAGTAGAGGCCTCATTCTTGCAAAGGCCCTACCCCATCCATCCGAAACCTTATAAAGTCTGCAGACTCCCACGAAAGGATTTATTTAGAGGCTCTAGGGGGTCTTTCTAGGGATTATGGGATTTAGGGGGGGTTTTAACCCATAGGCCCCAGAGTAGTTGCTTTTTAGGGTTCATACCTAGAATCCGATAAGGTGATCCCAAAAAGGCACACCACTATGAGGCCTATGCTTTAAGTAAAGGCTTTAAGGGGTTTAGGGATGGGAATTAAGGGGTTTTGAAGCATTCTAGGGATTCGGATTTAAGGGTTTTTGTGACTGCAGGAATTTAGACGGGTTTTGGGGTCTTTGAAGGTTTAGGATTCAAGGGTTTAGGCCGTTTAGGCTTTAGGTGCATTAGGAATGTAAGGCTTAGAAGCGAAAGAACGAGGCCACTATATACCTTCTGATGGATTCAGGGCTCTAGGGCTTCTATTGAAGCTGTTGAATCCCCAAACCCACCCTGAACCCCCTACAATGCCCCTTTTCCCCCCCCTTACAGCCCTTCCTAAACCCCCCTTGCCTTCTTTTTAAAACGGAGTTTCCGACAATTAAGGGTATCTGGTTTTGGGGTCCTTGTCATAAGGATCCTACTATTTAGGGTACTATCTTAAGGTCCCATTCGGAAACTCCGAAAAGGCAGAGAAAAACCCTAAACCCCTTGCAATGCCCCACAACCCCCCTTAGCCTAAACCCCCCCCCCTTCCCCTCTCCCCCATCCTTTTTCAAAAGGCAGAAACCTGTCCGAGAGTGTCCTCGGTTTTGCGCTTCCGGCTCTCGCGGCGCCGCCAGTTTCGCCAGGCCACGGAGCCCCGCAAAGCGGACTCCATGAAGCCTCGGATCGGATCGGGCTCGGAGCGATTTTGTTGATTATGGTTTTCGCGTTTTTTTTGTGAGGTTTTAGAGGGGTTCTAGAGGGTGTTTATAGGGTTTTTATAGGGTTTTTAGGTTTTGTGAGGTTTATAGGAAGCCTCGGATCGTTTTTTTCGAAGGCTCCATGTGGGGATCCATCAGGGTTCCTGTGAGGGATCCACAAGGGTACTAGAAGGGTTTGAGGTACATAGCATACCCTAAGGCTCCATCAAGCGCGCACCGCAAGGAGCGGCGCTGGACTGAAAAACCACGCCCAAACAATCTCAAGAAAACGATTGCATGGAAGTTCAAACTCTTACTCCCAAGCCCTAAATCCTGAATCCCAAACCCGAAAGCTCCTTAGCCCTAAATCCAAAAACCCCTCCTGACCATTCCCGCGCCCCCCAATACCTGAATGCTGGACCCTCAAGTCAAGACCAAGCCAGAGGGGAATGGCGACATCTGAATCCCAAACTTAGCCCGGGACATCCAGTCGGACACTTATCTTCAATGCCTATTTACTTCTGGCTCCTGACCCTCCCGGAACACCCTTCGTGAATCCAGCCGAATGGAACTTGAACTCCACGCGTTAAATTCCACACCCCAAGCCCAAAACCCCCAAAGTCTCCAACCCTGATATCCCTTAGACATCCTAGTCCTAGCCACTGCCGAACTTGAGTCGATGTCGGTAGTCGTCCTTGGCAAACTCCTCGGCCAGTATTCGAAGTCGAAGCTTCGGAGCTGGGGGGTCGTGTAGGGGCTCTTATGCTTCGCATAGGGCTGCTCCTTTTCATGTCGCCTTTACGGGTTCCATAATTAAGGGTTACTATAGCAGTTTTCTAAGGGCGTTCGAAAACAGAATCGGGGTTTAGTGCCTATTGTAGTAAAGCGATAAGGGGGCACGTTCGGGGCTGAGGTCTTATGCGCCACAGCTCTTAGGAGTGCAGGTTGCGAAGCTGTTGTGATTCGGAGTTTGGGGTAGCGTGTAGCTTAGGTTTAGGATTCAGGATATGAAGTGTGACGATGGAGGTACATGCACTAGGGCCGCTAGGGATCGCCTTGCCCCTTTTGATCCGCTTTGGGGAGTTTCGAAACTCATAGGCACAATAGACACGCACCCGAACCCAAATCAGCAACCGAAACAGTCCGTCGCTGCCGAAACCGCCTGAATCGAACAGCTGCTTCAAACCTGTAACCGTTCTGAACATTAAACTCAACCCTGAACCCCATAACCCTACCTCTACAAACCTTACAGACCCAACACAACCGACAACGAAACCCAAGTTAAAGCCCAACACACACACCCTAACCCTGAAAACCTCGCAGATCCCTCATGGCAACCCTACCCTGTAGGAGTAGCCTGGTCATATGGAAGCCTGCAAAAGTTGGTAATTAAGAGTGTTCCTTTGGGTTCCATACTATACCAATTTGGTATACTATACCGTCTATGCCCGTAAAATGCCATGTCAATCAATTAGGCCCCTGTATTACCCTGTTCGTCACGCCCGAAAGCCCAGCCAAAGCAGACCCACTGCTGGGCCTGTCGAGGCATTTTCGCGAGGGACTCCACACAACCTTCCGCGCTTCTTGGGTTAGGTTTCTAAGGCGGTTCATATGGGCTTTATAGAATGCTATATAGGCATGTGAAGAGGGGCCGTGCTCGGCAGGGTTGTCAGTAGGTTATAGGTCCCTACCTGGGTTGCAGGCCTGCTCTTTTGGTTCGGGCTTGGCATAGCTCTGGCGCTCGGCGCCATAATTAATGAGGGGTTAAGGGTTACATGATAAGCGCCATGTTGCTATGACAGTTCCTGGGTATGCTTTTAGCCACGACAGGAATATGCTCCAGCAGCCAGCTTACCTGGACCAGGGTCTTCAAGGCTTAGTCTACACTCAGCTGATTACGATGTGCTACTTTGACTAAGCTGTGAATTCATGACAACTTGGCAACTGACGACCATCTCGAAAAGGCCTTTGTAGAGGTCGTAGGTGAGCAACTTCTGCTCAAACGACTTGTAATGATCCTGCGGTTTTGGGTGAAAGCTTCCTCGAGACTCCAACATCCCTCGAGGGGCGAAGTAAGGATCCGCAAAACGAAAGCCTAACACCTTGCGCGAAGACGCTTCAACTACTTATGAGCCATTGTTTTTTGTGGGCTGTTCATCGAAACTTTGTTGCAGGCTTTTGGCGAGAATCCCGACCCAGAGTTTGCGCTGGTGTTCTCAGACTCCAAGCATACGAGCATTACCTGGGATGAGGGGAATTATGAGTCAGTATGAGCCATCACCAAGCAGACCCCTTCTAAGAGTCCATATATGTCCGTATGTGTTCTGCAACATGCTATCTCCCAATGCACCGTTGTAATCATCAAGGCGCGGAGAGTTCCCGGAATCTACTCTCTCTCTCTCTCTCTCTTTCTCTCTGTCTCTCGCTCTCTCTGTGTTTCTCTCTCTCTCTCTCTCTCTCTGTCTCTCCCTCTCTCTCTAAATATATATATATATATATACATATGTACATACGCACATACAGCACTAACTATGATCGAACCATGTATATACAGATACATAGATAGGTATGTGTTGTGCTATGAATGTGTATGTGTATATATATATATACAAATATGTGTATATATATATATATATATGTGTGTGTGTATACAGATAGACAGAGAGAGTGGGTGGGTCTGAACGTTCTCGCTGAAGACATTTGTCGAGATCGTCAGGGCTTAGAGCTTGGGGGTGCAAGAGAAAGAGATTTCGGGCTATCCCGACAAACTCACCTAGAACCGCGGACAGGTGTTGCGAGAAGCTGCTATTGGGAGCTCGATAGAGAAACCTGAAGAGATGACAGGGCCTCGCAAGTTCGATGTTTGACAGTGCTGTAGCTGAAGTTGATTGAGTTTGGGGTCGAGGGAATATCGTGAAATTTGCTCTGCATCAGGAATGTGCACTGCTTGTTAAAACGACGGGCCCAACTCGCAGCTTGCAACTTGCAGGCGAAAATCAACTGGGTTGGGGTTCCGAAACCTGAAGAAACCTGGCATAAGGACCACACCTCTCAACCCCTCCAAAAACTCTTCCCATCGTGCTCCTGGCCCGGGCTAAATTGGTCCGGCGGCCAGATGTTGGGGTGCCTGGAGAGTTAAAGATTTTGGATCTGGGTTCAGATCCTGAGGGTTGAGGGTTTAGGGACTCTGAAGATTTAGGATTCCGAGGGTTTAGGGTAGGATCTGGGGCTCAGCATAGTTGAGGAGCTAGAGCCCAGGTAGGGTAAGGGTCCTGGTGCTGGGTTGAGATAGTTTAAGGGTTCTCAGGGGTCCAGCCCTTCGCAGAAACCAAAACGGTACCGGGAGGTGTGGTCTCGAGTTCCAGAGAAAATCCATTATCGGAGCCGAACCTTCTGTAGCTAAAGTGCTACCCGACCGAAATTCTGTCGATGTGGGAGCTCCGACATCTAGACTATAGCAGTACCAGCCATCATCGCACGGTTTTGAAAAACATGGGGTGTGCAAATAAAACCCCGTTCTTTCGAGCTGTTAGGACTGGCCTTTTGATCTCCTGGAAAACTTCCTGATCGGGTTGGCATCGCAGCGTCGGCAGTGTACTGCATAAGCGAGGACTGCTTGTACACTTTGGGGCTGGCTGGCCTTGCAAGCTTTGGACCTCAGAAGAGGGTAAACTCAAGGCAACATGCAAGAAACCACGTCAAGCCTTCCAACAATCCGAAGAACCTAATCGCTCAAGCCCTCAGCCCTGAACCCCTGACCGCAAACCTGGCCGCAACCCCCGTAACACTAAACTCCAAACCGCACCGAGCACGGGTCGAGGCACTCGTCTTTGTAGCGGTGGTTGGACAAAGTGAGAGGCAAGCGTGGCTTCAGGCCTTGGCAGATCTTGTAAGGCGTAAGGATGCCTTATACAAGACCCTGCCTAACCCCTGCATCCCAAACTCCAACCCTTAACATCCCTAAATCCCCACGCTCAAAAGCCCTAAAAAGCCCTAGACTCCTAGACCCTAAAACCACCACAACTACGCCCCCGAAAGAAGGGAAGACAAGGGGGGGGGGCGCGGCTGGCAACAACGGCTTTGTGAATTTAGGCGGCTTTTGGGGCTTTAGGGTTCAGGGTTTAGGGTGTGTAGTGTTTTCAAGAAGTTAAGGTATTTTTAGGGTCTAGGGTCTTCAAGGATTCAGGGTTTAGGGTACTAGGGTTCAGGGCTTTGAGCTTTAATGCCCAGCTCTGCACTGCCATAATTATGGTATGTGATCCAACATGTGGGCCCGAAGAGTTGGAAATCGAAGTATAATTGCGTAGGGGCCTGCACCACATACTTCTCTTATGACACTATTGTCTCCGGTTCAGCGATCTGAAGGCGTGAACTCTATGACCTTTGAGATTGGAAGCCTCAGCCTCAGCTTTCGGGTACAAAGTTTCAGCGCGCCTTTAGCGTCCTCTTTCGCTTGCAAGCGCCGCGTTTTCACGCGTGGAGAGTCCAGGAATGTTTTGGGTACATGGTTCGGGTATGGAATGCTCTGGAATCGAATTCTTCAACATTTTTGGGGTTTGGGCATGGGAGCTCTGGGAGCCAAATTGGAACGTGCACAGTTCTGATGGCTTCGGGCAGGGATACTCCATTAACCGAGCGGAACACGGACGTCCCCATCGTTCAGGCATGGATGCCATGGTAACTGAATGCGGCTAGAACTTGATGCTGGTGGTGACAAATCTCGTGGTTTAGGAATACACTCCGGTAAACAAATGCAGTTGGAATGCAGAAGCATGGATGCTCTGGTGACGAGATGAACGAGCTTTATGGTTGGTCACAGATGCTCTCACAACCGAATGCAGCCGGGCAAATGAGGACACCAGACCTTGAAACCTGCTGCAATAGTCTGTTTCCAGGGCAGGCACAGAAAGTCGCAACGTTGTTGCTCTTGATATCAGACTTCCGGTTCTTGTTGGAGTTGACGGGAATACTGCCTCAGTAACAGACTGCAGTGTCTCTGACAGGATTTGCATGAAAGCCTCAGGACTGGATGCCGTGTAGTTGCAGCCTTTGCCAGCACCAGAAGGGGAAAGATGGAGCCACCACCAACGGCCAGAAAGCCCTACAGAACAGGGATACATCTCCTCAGGTCGCAGCATGAAAGTGTCTGAGCATTTCAAGCCCGTGACACCGCAGGCACTCCAACCGCAGGCACGAAAGATGTTGTTAGAAAGCTTCTGGAAGAACCAGTGCGATGAATCCACGTGATCAACCCGGCCGTTCAGTCATTGGATACTCTGTGCAGCAAAGGAACACGAGAATTCCTGTGCAGGCGTTCAACCATGCTTCCAGGGCATGTGCTGCTCTGCTAAGGGACTGAATCTTTATGAATCTTTAGAGAAGTTCAGCGAGCGCACATGGAGGTTCAACCAAGAACGAAGCACGTGAGCCATAATCTAAACCACTAGCATCCCCCTTAATCACGCCCAAAATAATCAACTACATCAGGAATTTAGACTATAGCCCATGTAGTGACCCATTCCTGCAAAACGCTGCTGCAGAGTCCTGCTGAAAACCCTACTTATAAAAATCATGAGACTTACTAAGTAAGGTTATAAGTTATAAGTACCGTAAATGGGGTTGTAAGTAGCTACAAGTATAGCTACCTTATTTATACCCCCAATTACTAAGTCCCATGATCCTTGAAGTAAAGCCCATCGGAGCCTCCCCCTGATCAGGTCCGGACACGGCTCCACGGGCTGCGGTCCGTCCTGCTATGCATGAAAGCCGAGTAACGGGGGCATCCGGCCTTACCTTAGGGTTCCTTTCAAGGGATACTGAAAGGGTACTACATGAGTTCCTCTAAAGGGCTCTATAAGGGTTTAGGGAGTTTGCGAAAATTAGGGGTAGTGGACTTGGATGGAAAGAAGTATCCTACTTTCTCTCCCTAGCTCTTAGTTCGGGTTCGGAGTAAAGAAACGAATCCTTATAGTAGCCCATATGCCAATACTAGTCTCCATAATCCATTCCCCCATATCCCTTATAGATCCCTTTCTAGGATCAAGGACCTTTTAAAGGAACCCTAAACAGACTATGCAGATGCTCCACCGGCCGGTCCAGCACTTGACTGATAGCCCACCACCCAGTTGAGATTCCGTCGATGGGCACCACCCAGAAGCTCCTGACTAAGCCTCATTGGGGGCAGAAAAGCACAAATGACTAATGACTGCTTGCAGCTCGTGGCTAAGCCTGCACTTGGCGTGCCCAGAACTCACAATGAAGAAGGTTACTGCAGCCCGGCTCAAGCGGGACATGGATGCAGCCCAATACACCTGCAGCTGTAGAAGGGACAAGGTCAGTAGCTGCACCGTTCGTCTCCCCCACGGCCAGGAAGTGAAGGTTGCTGCGCACCTCCTTGGACATACCCAAGTCCCCCTCATGCCCTCATGGTCTTTGGGCCCTGCCCCTCTTCAGCTTGCTGGAAGAACACACATGGGTGGTTGTCAAAAATAGGGTCCCTGTTTGGGTCCTCATTATAATACGGCACCGAATATTTAGGGTATCCCAAAAGGGACCATAATTTTGACAACCACCCACATGAAAATGCATTCCGTGCTCGACAAGGAGCAGAGTCCAGAGCCTCGACGTCCGGGTAGTGCTTGTAACAAGTGATCTTCGAAGAGCTGTCGCCAATCATCCGGCCTTTGGCCACGCCAGAGCCTTACCGGCACATAGGTTTTGTTTTTGAGCTCCTTTTTGATGCCTGCTTGCCGTCCCGAAGTCTGGCACATAGGGTTTAGGGTTGAGGGTTTAGGGGACACTGGCTGAGAACAAATGCCGGCTGAGGGTGTCAGCATTTGGATACGTAGCATTGTGCAGTGGGACCAGGCAGGTCCTGTCGGCGGCATTGGTTGGGAAAACCAGTCTATAGGGAAACAACAACAACGACAACAACGACAACAACGACAACAACAACACGAAATCCCTAAAGCCTAGACCCGAAGCCCTAAACCCGAAGCAGATGTGGAGGTGCAGACTGAGCGGTATCCAAGGCGCTGCATCCATCTATGATTGCTGT